ACTTTGTGTCAGGGCTGTAAACCTAATTAAGGGAGCCATTACACTTAGCTCTAAATGAGAAGTAGACACAACTAATTGCTTCCGAGAGGTCTCTGTTTTCCTAATAATGTACCTCCAAAGTGGTTTGGCATTAGCCTTATTTTATTTGCAATGAAAATACATATTACAGTGTCAATGAGCACTGACTTTTCATGTGAATTGGCACCCACACAAAATTTGCTTGGCAGACCCTGCGGATTGTAGCTAATAAACGCAATTGTCAGAAGAGTAATCATGGTAATGCAATAGAGTATAACTGAAGCCTGTCATCTGCGAAGACTGGCTTGTATCCGTTTTTCCCATTTCTTTTTTATGTCGTTGCAGCTGCATGGCTGCGATTCATTCGGCTGCAATTAAAGGCCGTGATTAATGAACTCACAAGAGCGAATTCTCTGACTTTGAGCAGAGGCAGATCATGTGGGTGTGTGTGATGCACGCTTGTCTCGATCCAGTACGGTAACAGTAGGTCTGTGGTAGAGCCCCCATTCCCACTATACAGTCTAGACAACACAATTGTGCTCACTGAACAGAGCCCTAATAAGCCGGAGACCAATAACGTGCTATTAGACAAAGTGCTCATATGCATCGTCTGCACACATGAGGCCTGTGCTATATCATATACCCCACTGTGATTAATCTGCAGCAGGTTTTATTTTTGGCCATTTTTAAAACACAGTACAGCATTATAATTCCCAGTGTTGTGCTTGCATTAGTCCTCGATGGCTAATTTGTCTGTTTATTTCCTAAGACGTATGATGTGTAAATATCCATGCTTTTAAAAGTTAATGAACTGCAAAAAAATAAATGAATAAATAAAAAAAAAAATATATATATTTACTGTACAATTGAAGTCAGTGGTCACCAAAACTTTGGTTCCCAGCATTCTTCAAAACATCTTATTTTATGTTTCGCAGGAGAAAGTAAGTCATCCAGGTTTGGAACGACATGAGGGTGAGTAAAATATATCTTTATTTAATATGAAGCAAAAGATAATTTACAGCACGATACCCCAGGTGAATAGGGAAATTTAGTAAATAACAGATATCATCAACTATCCAGTTGCTTGATTGCATTAAGAATTGCAAACTTTTTTTGTATTAAAACTTTCCTAAAATGTTATGTTTACATATGCAAATGAGGGATTACCCAATTAAATATGCACTAATTTGCATAAATGTCCAGCCTGGTTCAAAATTCTTGTTTCATTTTGTTGTCATATTACGGTCAAATGTTTTTACAAAGGAAATTTTAGATTCCTTATTTTGTCACCAACCAGAAAATGTATTCATTAATTAAATTATTCCCAATGATTTTTGGGAGAATAAATCTTGTATAAAATCAAGATAATTATGTCTGAACAAACCTTCAGAATATAGATAGGAATAAAATGGTAAAGTTTGGCGGTTTTGGAGATTTTGACACAGTACATTAAAAAATAAAATTAAATAAATAATTTGACAAAACGGCTTTTATTGTAATTAAAATCGACAGACACAAATGGTTAACATGCAATAAAATAAACAATTAAAGGAATATTTTACCCAGAAATGAAAATTGGCTGAAAATGTATTCACCTTCAGGCCATCCAAGATATAGATGAGTTTGATTGTTCATCACAACAGATTTGGAGAAATGTAGCATTACATCACTTGCTCACCAATGGATCATGTGCAGTGAATGGGTGCCGTCAGAATGAGAGTCCAAACAGCTGATAAAAACATCACAATGATCCACAAGTAATCCACACCACTCCAGTCCATCAGTTAATGTCTTGTGAAGTGAAAAGCTATTTGTTTGTAAGAAAACAATGTTTTTTTTTACCTTTAGTGCCCTGCCTTAAACTCAAGTGTCCTATTGTAAAGCTGAAGAAGCTGCACGTTTCAAAAGTGATGACCCATTTCATGTGTACTTTTTGAACTATTTGTGCACTCATCTGAAGCAATGCAATGACCCAAATCCCTGCAGTTCAATGTTGATGAATAATGTGTTCTCAGCTATTTGCAGGCTGTAGCGATAGCTTGCTGCGACTTGCCAATAGTGTTTGTGGAAAGAATGCTAAACAAAGCATTACTACTCTGGGTATCATATTGCATGAATAATAAATCAATTTCAACACAAATGGTATAAATATTCTTCATTCCTCACACGTATATAGCGACATCGTAAACACATATGTGGAGGTAGTATATACTAGCATTTGCATTTTAGATTCATTATCCTACTCATTAAATGCAGCAGTGTATCTAACAAGTATGCAGCACAGATGATTCATGATATGCAATAGCAAGCTGACCAAATAATAGGGAAACTCATCCTCTGTGAAATGAGAGATAGGTGTGGCCTGAGGGAAAATCTACAGCAGACCAATTGCAATGCAACTGTTATGTTGGCTGGCAAGACAGAGGTCCCATTCCAAACTCTGATTGGCATGATCCAGGAGCAGATGGTGGAGGGATGGCATCAAAAACTGGCACCCAGAACACAGCATGGCTCTTCGACAGAAACAGCAAAGTCCGTTAAAGTGTAAGACAAAAGAAAGGCTTCACTGAGAAAAATCCGGAAAACTCAACAAATCAGAGACACACTGGGCTGCTTTATTGTTAGCAGTGGCCACAGAACATTATTGTGTACAATATATGACATTTAAAACAATAATATGAAATGAACTACTTGCTTTGACATTGCATTTGTATGAATTCATTTGATTGAGAAAATTAGAGGCAGCATTATCTTGTGAAGTTGGCTTTGGAAGTTCTTTTGGCTGTGCTGATATCAGCTAAAAGTATCGCGTTTAACTTTTACACGCTATAATAAGGGCCACACATGGCCTCAGACGAAACCTCAATGCTTCTGGGAAACCCAAATGTTGTTTCCCTGTTTTTAATTGCTATACTTCAGTTGATTTGTCTCTTTGTTTTGCGTTTCTTTACTAAATCATGCTCCAGACATGTTTACTGTACTTGCTAAACATGCTGAGATTTGATTTGTGATTGTAACACTTTGGAGCAGATCGGATTGAATCGACAAAGGATTCTGCTGTCGAAATATATCCCTTAAGGCTGCCGGAGTTTTGCTCAGGTTTGATGTTGAGTTTGAGTTAAAACTTCGAGCACAAAGAAAGAAAGTCACTGAGAAAATGGCTTGAAATCATGGGGTTTTATCCTGGCAAGTAATTTGACAAAGCTTTTAGGGAAAAACACTGAATGAAATGACTGAATAGAGCCCAACAACAAAATGAAAAGTGTATCCTCAGCTGACAAGAATGGGCTTCCCATACTGCTATTCAACATGATTCTATGTGTTTGTATTGTTCTCTTTAGCTGCAGGGACATATATATTTCAACATCTGCTCTCTCTGTTTTTGTAAAAGTGGAGAATGTTGTGCTTCCTTTCAAAGTCTTTAAGTCACATTGGAACATTAAATCAATACTCAGACTTGATTGCAATGTCAGAGAGTTTTCCAAAAAAGATTCAAAAGCACAGCTAAGGTACAAAAAATGCCAATACTATAAAATAGTTTACAAAAGTCTGACAGCTAATATCATATACAGTGTGGAAAAGGGACCAGTGGGGAAAAATAATGAAATAAAAGTTGACAACAGGAGAAAGTAATATAATTGTCAGCAATAGGAATCACAGTTCCTGTAATAGTCCATTTTCTGATCTGATTGTATTCCTTTTAAAGTATCAAATTGCTCTGAAAAATAAATGTAATAAAATCATTTTTTACCACACGTGAGTGCAGGCAGGGATTAAATATGTCTGCGGCTGTTTCAGATGTGGAAAAACATTGAATATAAATGTATGCTTGTAAAAACATTCAATCAGACATTAAGCAATTATTGATCATGGTGTTTTAGTCAATTTTGTACTTTTAGACAATTTGTATACAAACAAAAGAAATATATATATATATATATATATATATATATATATATATGTGTGTGTGTGTGTGTGTTTATTAATTAAAAATGTTTTTATTTATTTATAATAAACTTAAAGTGATTTATTATTTTAAAACCCTTTTTATTTTTAAAGATTTTGTTTGACTTCTAATGTTAAGAAACACATTGCAACAACTGTTGCTCCATTTTACAGGCTCATTAAATAAAAAATCACCCCAATCCACTTTATTCAACTCCTGAGTCCTGTGAGTGTTTTTTTTATCGAAGTTCAAGTGATGTTTACTTCCTTTCTAAGTGTCTCTTGAAAGTTGTTCCAGTCGGTTTATGGATGTTGTCTGTCCCAGGCTCGATCAGCCCCTGCAGGCCGGCTCTCCACCCAACAGCTGTTAGGTTTTAAAAGCCTAATATGACAGCATGCAGCCTACATAGTGTTTCTGTATGAATATTAATGCAGTTAATGTCTGAGACCTATTTGCACATTCCAGTGACAGTGCAGTTTTGTGAATTAAACGCAAAAATAAAACATTGAACATTTGTAATATTTTACATTACTGTCTTTATTTCTTTTTCTTTCTTTCTTTCTTTCTTTTTTTATATTTTCCTTTTTTGTTTTTGCTTTTAGTGTGTAGTTTTCATTCCTTCTGTGCAATACAGTGTATTTGCAATTTTCTCAATAAATAGCATTAAAATATATGTCATTAGTATTATTTAGTTCTTATAGGCTCAACATGGTAAGTTTGACCATAACATTTATTTGCCCAAAGAATGTCATGTGTTGTAGCTCAAGGTTTTGTGATAAATGTGTAGAGCTTAGTGCTGTTTTTTAGGCAAAGCAAGTGCATATAGTGACATATAGTAACTGGAATTTGATGAGCTGCCTCTTGTGTTTTTGTCTTCCCTTCAATTTCCGAGAGATGACATGACCTCTGTTGAACCTGCCGGTCTAATAAACGGCGCTGTCTGGTGTGTAGGACCCAGCGAAAAAGGGAAGCTCCCGGTGAGAACTGAGGAGAGAGAGAGAGAGAGAGAGAGAGAGACTCCTCCTCGTCTCCGGTGTCAAACTTGACATCAGCCTCTGAGCCGAGAATGGTAACTTGTGTCGGAACAGAAGCCCTCACATGAGTGGCATGCTTCATGGAGTTATGTACCTTGTTTCGCCCCTTCAACTGCTATCATGGATTGCAAAACCTTAATACTTTTCCTTTTTCTCTTCACGTTTATTTCCAGCGCAGAATTCATTATTCATCCATCCAATGAAGGTAAGATAACGTCTGGAGTAAGAGACGTATTATAGCCTACCTCATCTCTGCTAATACTGTAGCGTGTCATAGACTCTGTCTTTACAATACTGCCAAATGACTTGCGCTGGACCAGACAGGGTTTTATTTCTGCTCAGCTTTGACAGGGCAAAATGAAATCGAAGTGAATAGTTACCTGCTTTACCTCCGAAGCTCATCCAATAAGCAGCGGCGAATTCGACCATATTGCTTAAACGCTCGCCCGTTCACTTTATGTCAGAACAGCTCCAAGTGAACCGATTTATTCTGAGAATCAATAATATCGCAGTTCTGCGCAAAACGCATTGAATTGCTTGCGCGAGAAATTGATGCAAAGGTATTGCTGCAGATTCAACTTTTAGTACTGTTTATTGTTGTTTGTTAGGGTCGCTTGAGCTACATGATAAAAGCATGTTTTGAAACGATCGATCGATCACGAACGCGCAACGACTGAGCGCAAAATCCAGTCCGAAAATCAACGGAGCGTACCGCATAATCTTAAACTAGGCTGTATGTGAAGACTCTTTGTCCATTTGATTTATTAAATTGCTTAAATTATTTTGTCGCTATTTTGTATGGAGTCTAGCTATGAGGCATACTGTATATACATGCGCTGTAAGTTTGTGCGCCGACTTTATTCAGTTGCACTGCGCTTTTGTTTTATTACGTGAAATACTTAAACTTATTGGATATACTTTGCTTCAAATGCGCCAATTGGGTAAGCAGATATTTACCTGCCATCGGGTGTCTGTCACATATTCAAATAGCCTCTTCCTCTTCTTCTTTATTTTTTATTTAATTATGAATTAATTTTTTACGTAAAGCAATACACGTTGATGTTAACGTAAAGCATATTTTGAAGTGTTTATATTTACTATTATAAGCTGCATACAGATTTTATGAATATTACTCAAAAGTAATAGGTTACATTCAAGTTTACTGGTGCCGACGTTGTTTCAGTTATCTAGTGCTATTCATCACGATTAGTTATTAACTTAAACATAATAGCGCGTGTTGACATATTCTTTTTTTTTTTCCAATCATATATGGCCTATTGGATAACCTGTATAGCCTAATACAGTAAAGGCCTACAAGCGAATGAGATTTCAAATAAAGTGATCAAGTGACAGTACAATCGAAATAGTCGTTAAAGTCAATAACTTAAAATCTTAAGCCTGTCAACATTTGAAGGCAGCAAAGTTAGGTACAGATGCAATCTGCGTATTTTTAACAAAACAGTTGTTATTTCTAGGACACTGCATTTGTATTTTGACATCTAAACGTCCTTTGTGAAACACTTTAAGAAGCGGCGGGATCTAGATGTAGACACTGTAGCCTAGGCCAAAATAACGGACAGGGCCTATGTTTTATTTATTTTTATTATATGCTTTAAATGCGTGTGCACAGCATTTTAATGTATATCATGCGTATCCCTAACTGTTTTGTTCACAGTGATTAGCATTGTTTGTCCCGTTCAGAGCTATAAAGTTTTTTATTTTCCATAGTCGCTCGGGGGTGGGGAATGAGACGTGACGAGACAGTAAACCTTTGTGTATAGTCCATCATTATACTAATTAGAAAAGTTTCCGTCATTGTCACATATTGGATATACAGGCCTGTTTATTAGCATTTCCAAAACTTCAGGTGCTCTGACTTGACTATATTTGGTCTAGTTAGAGAAAAAAGAAATGGCGACTTTTGTTAGTCTTATTCAGTGAAGAGATACAGAAGATGGAAAGATTCGTTTAGTTTTGTGACTTTATGTTCGGAATGAAACAAATATTCAGGCCAATTTGCTATTATTGGGTTTAGAATTGGTATTTTTGTATCAGAGTGTAGAATGATCTTTGTAGAAAGATAAGATGTGCTCATATGCGTTCAACTCAGAGGTGGGCGATAGCCTACGTCTAATATGTAGTGATATTTTAGCTGTCGAACAGAGCGGCTTTTCTCTCTTATTGTGATTTATGGGCTGTGAATTACCTTTTGCTGAAAAAGTATGTAATGGGACGTGTTTTTCACCAGAGAGTGTCAGTATAGAGCCACAGCTATTGATATCACTTAAAGTAAAGTGCTTTTTTTTTACAGATTGCAGTCGCCAAATCAGTTCAAGTGTGGTGTTTATAATCTCCTAATAAGATCTTAATTAATAAAAATGGAAGGTTTATAGTTTTATTAACTAATATTGAACGTGTCAGAACAGTCAGAGGCCAGTTCGGTGACCTCTAGGAAATCGCGGCTCACCTCCCGAAATTCATGTAGCCTATTGACGCAGTCTGCCTCGATTGAATTATGATTTGATTAAAAAAGATGTTCAACTATACATGTCATGTTCATATTAACCCCCTTTCTTAGAATAATACATGTACACTACGAGCATTCATTCATTCAAAAAAAAAAATATTATGAGACTCATAAATCCTTTCAGAGGCAATATTCAAAAGTTATATATAGGCTATCGATGCGAAGCTACTCAGTAGCCTATTTCCCCCTTTTGCTCAGGAAATAAACTCTAGTAGAGTTTGAAACGCCTTTCAGTTTTTGTATTTATATTTAATGTTTGTATTTATCCCATACAACTGTTTCTTGACCTGACACCAATGACTTTTCAGATGAAACGTTTTCTTCTGCTCGGGCTGAAATAGGCCGATTTACTACACAGGCTGTGCACTTTAACCCTTAAAATCAGGTCGTGAAATAGGAATAACAATAATAATCAAAACTTTAAAGCAAAGTCTTTATTGCATGGAATGAATTTTAATAACCAAATCTTTGTAGAGCGAACCTCATTGCGACCTCATTCCTCATTCGTGTCGGTCAACGTGTGTGTTATAACCTATGTGTCTTTGAAGATAGAGGATAAAGCCCGAAACACGTTACTATGTCAATTTAATTGAACTGAGCAAAATTAAGCATTAAAATACATTTTAAAAGCTACAGCTGGCTGCATTGTTTTTTTTCTTTTTAAACGATTACAAAGTTTGGGGACAATTTTAATACTGAAAACTCTAGGCTAATTAACTATAGCCTACAGCATCTATAAACAACACCTACATATAATAATAATAATAATTATTATTATTATAAATAAATAAACACTCACCAATTGAGCTCTGTAATTTAGGTAGGTCTTTTCTGAATATCATAGCAGCACAGTAATAATCTAAAAATATTCTTGACTATTTTTTTACTGCATTTTTCCTAATGGCTGTGAAAACAACAGTGTAACTTGAGGCCTACTTACACTGTCCTATAGATGCACACAGCATCAAAGCACTCATATTTTGCTCCTTTTTTTTTGCTCACAACAAATTTTTATATCTTTTTCTATCTCTCTCGGGTAATAGTTGAGATTGCTAATAGTATTTTTTTTTCATACTTATTTTTTTTCTTCCATATACTTAAAATATACACATTGAGCTTTCCTGGTGTAAAGTTTATTTAATAATAATGGTAATTTTCTCAATTAGTAGAAGTGGGTTTAATGCCAGCGCAAAATTTGGCTTTTTTAATAAGCAACACATGGCATAAAAAAACAACAACAAAAAAAACAGGGAAATTATATCTTCTTTTTGTGGATCTGGGCACACTGCCTAGTGAAACATACTTCTGTTTAAAGAATCAAATTAATCTTTCTGCCATTTAGCTTGGCCTATGTGAGTCCAATGTTTGTGGTGGGTAAACTTTTGGGAGCAGTCTGATGCATATCGCCTATCCTGTCATCCGTACGCTCACGACAGACAGTTTTCCGAGCATGTGGGATTACAGCAGTTACACGCCGAGTCCTTACACGCCGATTTCAACTAAAACAACAAAAGTCTCCCTGAAATATTTCAGGAAATCTCCTCAAAGCCCATCAGCTCCAGAATAAAGCATCTGCCAAAAGCATCAATATAAATGTTAACAAATCATACATCACAACTACGTTACTAAGGTTTCCATTTTCTAACTTGTGGCCAAGATGGCGCAGTTTGCAAGCCACAGTGCTTCGCTCGTACAGACTATGTGATGGCAGCATGACATGGTGTGGTGAGATGTCATGGTGCACTGTAGCTTCCAGACGGGACGGCTAATGTTTTGCGAGTGATGCTACGTTTGTAGACATTTGGAAATGTGCTTACATGTACAAACGCATCCAATGCATACCATATCATCAATATAACAGTAACATGTGTGGTCCAGCTGATGGGTGGATTTTGGATGGAGATGGTGGACAGAAAAGCTGTAAACATTCGAAAGGGCTGAGGCAGACACCCTGAGACGCGACTGAATTATTCATGGCGTAGAGGTTAATACTTCATTGCCATCGTGCCACTATGGGCGGAAGCTTCGATCAAGTTGCAAGACCTGCGAGTTGCTATTGTTTTTCCATTTGAATGTGTTTATTTTTGTTTTTTTAGATAGTTGAGTTGGGGAATTATTACAAGTATTGACCTCTCAGAAAGGTTTTGGGGTTCGTGGCGACCCTTGGTGAAGGTAGACCAGCTGCAGGGGAGGATTTAGTGCGGGTGAGAAAAGGGATCATTGGAGCAGCAGTGGATATTTTGGACACACATATCGCGGCCTCTTGTCCTCACTCGAAAATCCTTTGAAAATAATCCGCCATGTGTCTTATACACCCACAGTCAGATTTGAATAAAGCCAGGCATCAGCTCCTCTGCTGTCCGAGGACCCGGCGGTTCTGAGGTGTTCAGACACCTGACTCTCATCTTAATTCAATAACCGATTTAATTAACTAACTGAGAGGTGAAGAGGACGGCGAGAAGAGAAGGCACTGTGCCATTTACGGGCCATATGGTTCTCTTATACCCATGCAAATCGCATTCAGATCATAATCGACAGCCGTGATCACAGCTATGTTCAAGGTTGGTGGCTATTTTCTGCGAGAACTTTATCCTTATCGCTTCAAATACAGTGAAATCTTAAGAATTATGTGACAAAGGATTAATAAAAAGGCGATTTGCAACACACTACATTTTTTTTACAAACACGATATTGGAGTGATGATACTTATTCAGCATGTGGGTTGTTGCCGCAGAACATTTTTTTAAAGACAATTTTAAATAAAACATGTAGCAGTATATTCAAAAAATTCTTGTATTATTTTATTTTATTTCATTTATTTTATTATTTTGAGTTTATTTTGAGTTCATATTAAACAACATTTATTTTTATTTTATTTTTTTTGCGGAAAATAGCTTAACATGTTGCTTTAAATACTTTTAAATGGATTTTCATTTTTCAACTTACCTAAAATATTGCACCTATTGCATTTGTTGTCGACTACCCATAATATCATATAAAAGTAAAATTGTAATACCGTTGAATTTAAATGTATATCTATACTTTATAGCTATCCATAGTATGATATAAAAGTGAAATTATGATGCATTTGAATTGAAGTGTATATCTATTTTATCTCTAGGTTGATGGGTAAAAATAATGAGGTATTCTAAACACAGACTTCTTGTCTTCTTTGTTAAATTCAATAGTATGATCTCAATGTAAATATAATTGTGGTACTATTTCTGTTGTACATGTTTATTATAGTAAAAGATGGTGGGTAGATTTGTAGTAGTTTGTGAGTTGTGAAGGAAAATGTAAACGTTATTACAATTGCCCCACACTTCAGCTAAAAAAGTAATTTGTCATTAGTCACGTAACCATTACATTTCACATTGAGCTGTTCTTAGATAGTTTGCGAATGAAACATTACCATTGTCTCTTTTTCAGCACTGTTAATGTGTGCGATCAATGTGCCATGTGCTGATGAAAGGCAAACAATAGCTAGTAGTGCAGAGATGATACATTAGAGAGACAGAAAGCCCTTGGCGGCCTGTGGTTGGAATCTTAGATTATTGTCTCGCTCCTGTATTGATTTACCTATCTTGTCTGGTATAGTTGGTTGGATGAGATGGCCATTGGATCAGCTGTTCATAATCAGCCCTCTGTTTTGTGTTGGATGCGTTGCTTGATGCTCCACTTTTGGTGGAGAGGGTGAGAATGACGTTGGATGTGATTTCCTTCTCTTACAGCTGCAGAAATCCGCCTCACCCATGTAGCTTTCTAATTTTATGGTCTCAAATTTCCCTGGCCGGCTCAATTTGAGATGCGGGCTCGGCTCATTGAGAAACTGAAATTGGAACCAACAAAGCTGGATGTGAGCTGCCATTATCTGACATAAGCAGATAGCTTTATTATAGTTAATAGGGATCATCTACAGTATGAGAACAGCCAGCTGTTTGGCTAGTGCTCAGGTGCGGTGCCGTTTTCTGCTGGAATTTGATAATGGGGTCTGTAGCAGACTCTCCTCACAGCTCCTGATATGTGGACTAGCAGTCAAAATTATGGATGCACCTGACTGAATTTATGCTTCTCATGATCTTAAAAACCTTCTCATCTTTTAAAGAAAAAATAATAATTAAATCTTTGAATTGTTTGAAAATGTTTGAAATTAGTTTGGTAGACACACAGGCAAAACTGAATTGAATTGAATTGAATTGAATTGAATTGAATTGAATTGAATTGAATTGAATTGAATTGAATTGAATTGAATTGAATTGAATTGAATTGAATTGAATTGAATTGAATTGAATTGAATTGAATTGAATTGAATTGAATTGAATTTAATTTAATTTAATTTAATTTAATTGTCCCGTCATATGAAATAATTTAATTTAATTTAATTTAATTTAATTGTCCCGTCATATGAAATTATGCATTCTGTACAAAACTAAAATACAAAACTTTTTTTGATAATTCAGTCAGTTAGATACTACAAATCATTAATCTAATTGTTTTAATTTTCTATTTGTATTTGTAATTTGATGAATGAAAAACAATAGATTATTAATAGCAAGTAAACAAGTAAAAAAAAGTAAAACAATTCAATACTGAAAATAAAATTAATATAAAACTGGCTAAAAATGGCTCAAACTTCACATGGTTCCCATCAACATTCCATAAAAATCTGCTTCCTTGTCAGATTTTTGTCTCTACAAATTTGATTTGATTTTATTATTTTATTTAAATACATTACGCAGTAATGATAATGTAAAATAATATTATAATAATCATTAATAAAGTAAATAAATTATAAAAGTAAACAATGAAAAGTGTTCAGCATAAATGTTAACTTCAGTACTTTTATAAAAACATCTTATTATGCATCTCATGATGTTGGTTGTGTGAATTTCCAGAGCGTTCCAGAGAAAAATCTCAAATAGGAGATATTTTAATTTTTTGGTCAGTGTTAATGCTATGTTTTTGGTCACTACCAAATTTCCATATTTAAAAATGGTGTTATTTTATCATTTCGATGACTTCACTATTGCTCTAAAATGAGCAAAGTAATACATGAGTTAATAAAAATAAATATTAAAGAATGAGTAGGTGTGTCCAAATGTCTGACTGGTACTAGGAACAGATTGCTTATGTTTAGAAGGTGCACTCGGACATCATGTCACGCTTTGTGATAAGAAAATAAATGCTGGCATTAAAGTATATGTTTCTAGGCACTTTTAGAAAAGAAAGGTTTATGTCATCCATGTCCCATATGTCCATTTGTGGTTTGGCTGGATGTTTCCTGGCCGTCGCTGTAGGGAGAATGAGTGACACAGCTATAGTAGGGGCCATAGACGCCATGCTGAGTGGCCCACATGTCAGCTGGGATTATGCATTTACTGTACGCCGACGGAGGCTTTTGTTCTCTCTCTCTCTTTGTGCCTGTAGAAGCCTTGCTCAATCAAACAGGAGCTGTTGTTATGAGAGAAGGAGACACTGAGATGTCAAGAGCTTGTCACGACCTTCTCGGCTGCAGCATGCCATGCAGCCAGCCAGCCATTTTTAATAATGCAGTATTTCCTTTCCTTTCTGTCATCTCTCGTTGTTTTAGCTTTCATTTTCCATTGATTTTTATCTTTGTTTTTGTTGTTGTTGTTTCCTTCATTTTAATTGATTGGATTGGACAAGGATTTGATATTGTGTTTAATAAAAATGAAAATTTCTACACAGATAGAAATAAATATTGAATACAAAGACAGATACAGATTAACTATTGTATGCGTGAAATAAAACAATAACATCAGAGAATTGTCCAATATTTATATCGCATAAATTAGAAAAGCATTAATAAGCAAAATATGAAGGGAAAATAAAGAATGTGTCCTATGAATATATTTATTTTCAATTTCTATTATTTATAAATTAATATATTTTTTGAAAGTGGTGAAAAATATATATTTTGTATCATTAAATAAATAACTGTATATATTGTTATTTATTTATTTCATCTATTTATTTAGGATTTGATCAGTGTGACTAAAGTCATATGCTATGTATTATATCACATTCATTTGATTTATCATATGTATATCATATATCAAATATTCTATAAAAATTATTTAAGAAAAATTGCTAAATATTTTTTAGGACAAAGTTAACTGCGAAAGTGTTTTGGAACTAAATGCACTGTGAAATGATATTTTAAACATTACTGATTTAAATAAATGTTTTTTACATTTAATTAATTAAAGTTATTATACCATGTTAGTGAGAAAATGTAGCATTTTGCTAAGACTTTGTTTTGAGCTGGCATAGTTACATGAACTTTTATAGTCATAACAGCAAATTATGCAATAATTAGTAACTAACCCTAAACCAAACCCTAACCCTAATCTTAACCTACTTGTATTTAATATTGCTCAGTACTTATTTGTGTAATTATGCAGTAAAAACGTCACCTTAAATGGGTGCATTCAAAACAATAATTGTTCTAGCTATAATCTCTTATCAACACATCGCTTTAAAATATTGAATCCTTTCGGATGGTGTCTGTTAGATAAAAGAAACCATTTGTGATTTATTCGCCTTGTTAAAGGATGCCTATCACAGAAATAATACTCAGAAACACAAAGGATCAACGATGGGTCAGACATTAACGATCCCGTCATGCATGGGGTAACGAGGGTAACTTTTCTCCGGCCGGTTAAAGCTAGTGCGGCTAACTGAAAAAAATACTCGTTTGAAGGATGAGTCCATTGTTTGTTTAATTGGATTGTGGCATAAAGCAGTGCAGCTGAGTAAATACTGTGTTGATCGGGACGCTACACACTCAGAGCCATATCCCGGCCCGAGTGGACATGTGGCGGGGGGTGAAACCTGATCTAAAAAGGGCTAACTGCTTATTTGTTTCTCTCCCCTTCTCTCTCCTTTTCTAGTTAACCTGTTGGACTCCAAAGCAAGCCAAGGGGAGCTGGGCTGGATATCATCCCCATCCCACGGGGTGAGTGCTGCAGACCTAATCTATATTTCTTAGTGGAAAAGAAGAGAACAGACATTTTGTGCTGTGAGGATGCTGTTGGGGAGCAAAAATTATGTGTGTAGTTTTTGGGGCATTTATTATTTTGAGTTAAGTTTCAAAAACTAAAATGATAATTTCAAGTGATTTTGTTTGGATAATTTTACAAAATAATTAGGGGTTTGACAATAAAATTATAATTACATTTTAATTTTTTAAATACTAATTTATACCGGTGAAAATGTATTTATTTTTATTTATTTTTTTACTGGTGAAAGTCTGAAATGATTAAGCTTTTTTTAGTGTTTTTGAAAATGGTCTCTTATGCTTACCAAGGCTGCATTTATTTGATCAAAAATATAGTAAAAAGAGTGATATTGTAAAATTGTATTGCTATTTAAAATAACTCTTTCGTATTTGAACATGTTTTAACATGTAATTTATTCCTGTGATACAAAGCTGAATTTCCAGCATCATTACACCAGTCTTCAGTGTCACATGATCCTTCAGAAATCATTCTAATATTTTGATTTACTGAAACATATTTTATTTCATATTATTTTCAGTGTTGAACACAGTTTTTAAAAAGAAACCTGAAATGTATCACAGTTCCCACAAAAAAATATTAAGCAACAAAAACTCAACATTTATAATAATAAGAAGAACCATTATTAATAATTGAACACAAGAAATAATTGATAATAAATGAGTGTCAAATATTAGAATGAATAGCACATTTGCATATATTAGCATATTAGAATGATTCACATATTATAATGATTTCTGAAGGATCATGTGACACTGAAGACTGGAGTAATGATGCTGAAAATTCAGCTTTGGTCACGGGAATAAATTACAATTTAAAATATATATTGAAGTAGAAAAAGGTCTTTTAAATTAATTTAATATATTTATTTAATATTTGATCAAATAAATGTAGCCGTGGTAAGCATAAGAGAATTCTTTCAAAAACATAAAAAAAAAAAAACTTAATTATGTCACACTTTTGACCATTTATATAAAAAAATACAGAGAACATATATTATAAACATGATAAAATAATGTATGAGAATATTAAGCCCAAAGGTATGGTTTTCTTGTCAGCATAGAACAAGTCAAGGTACTTTATTTCTGTTGTCAAAACCTCAAGGTCGCAACTTCCGATAATAACCATGTTTATTTGTCGAGCTGCACAGGTATTGGTCTCAAGGGTTACTCGGACCAAACCGTTCCTTAAACTTTATTATGTGTTAAAATGACTTGCTGGCAGTTGCTAAAGGTAATCCAGTAATTTGTTCCATATAGCTGCCAAACCTTGTTTCCCCTCGTTCTTTTTCACTGTTGGCACAGTAAAACATAAAGCTTCCCTTTCTTAGAAGCAAGGGAGAAGAAAAAGAAAAAGATGAAGCAAAAAACAAAAAAGGTCATTTGCATTTTATATTAAGTGCTTTTTAATGTAGAGTGCATTTATGGAAAATTGAGTAATTGCACTAATTTGCTAGATTAATTTCTAAATGTTCATAAATTCAACCGAGAAAGCATCGTTAATCTCTACAATAGCCATAAAGGCGATTTAGAATGAAAAAGGAAATCCCTCGCAGATACGCGCTGAATGCTCTGGGATTTATTAAGTCGACATGTAGCCGTTGTCGCGATTACGGCAAAGATCAGGTTCTCAAGGTGAATTAACTCTAATTACTCAGGACTTTTCCCTAGTTTGGAGCGATAAGCATGCTGCCCTGAAAGCTATGCCCTTAAAAATGATTTCAAATAATGTGCCTCTGCAGCAGTGACACTGACGGATGGGTCGCCCGCCTTCTGCCAGTGTAAGCACAAATCGGCCCGGTTAAAGCAAATTAAGAGCTAAAGCCCATCGGATGCTCCCTGTGCAGCCGCAGTAAATATAAATAGGCCCTGCGCAGACAGCTCTTTAAACACGCAGCGCTGTTTATTACGGCCTCTCCAAATTGCATCAGGCCTCAGCCTGGGATTCATTACCCAAGGCAGTCGGATTGCTCTGTCTGCACCACGACTACCCATATGTTGCACTGCTCTGAAGACTCTACGCAATTGTTCCTTGAATTTGTAAAAAGCATCTTTGCTGTGGCATCTGTGGAGACGCCGATAAGAGCTTGATTGGTGGTTGTAGTTTTGGGGTTTGGAATGCCTCGTTTCTCCAAAGCTGTTTTACCTCAGCAGCAGAATGAGAAGTGCAAATTGCTCTTGAGCACTGCCTTGGCTTGGCATTGGCATTGTTTTTAATTCCATTTAAGATTTTTGAATGAATAACAGGATTGTCGCACTGGGAGTATTGGTGGCTGTACTGGATAACAGGCCAGAAATGTAAATATTCTGGGCTGCAAATATTTTTAATTGTTTTAGAATAATTTTCTTTGGTTAGTGTAACAGAACCAGTTTTTGAAATATGACATATATAAAAATATTTATACATACAGTGTAAAATCTTCATTTAGGATTGATTGGTATGACTAAAATGATATATTATGGTATGAGTAGTCTTATATCATGTTAATTGGATTTATCATATGTGTATCATGTAGGTATTTTTGTACAAATATTCAATAAAATATTTAGGAGTATTAAGTGTGGAGTGAAATAAAAATTACAAAATATATTTTTAGGACAAAGTTAACTGTGAAACGTTATGAAAAGTGCTACACGAATAAATAAATAAAAATGTATGTATAAAACTTCAAATTTTTTATAAATTTAAAATGTTTCTCTTCTGGTTCATACCTCTAACCACATGTAAGAGACACTTTAAAGGAGACACTTTATTATAAAGTTAATATTTTACAGATAATATTAAACCAATTTTGTTGGCTTCGGTACAGTAACAAAATAAATTCCAGTTATTTAATTTTGCATAATATTTCACTTTTTCCTCACACTATATATTTTAAACAAACTTTACATAGTTGTGTGCGAGTATGCGCACACACACACACACACACACACACACACACACACACATATATCCCACAAAAAAATATTAAGCAACAAAAACTCAACATTTATAATAATAAGAAGAACCATTATTAATAATTGAACACAAGAAATAATTGATAATAAATGAGTGTCAAATATTAGAATGAATAGCACATTTGCATATATTAGCATATTAGAATGATTCACATATTATAATGATTTCTGAAGGATCATGTGACACTGAAGACTGGAGTAATGATGCTGAAAATTCAGCTTTGGTCACGGGAATAAATTACAATTTAAAATATATATTGAAGTAGAAAAAGGTCTTTTAAATTAATTTAATATATTTATTTAATATTTGATCAAATAAATGTAGCCGTGGTAAGCATAAGAGAATTCTTTCAAAAACATAAAAAAAAAAAAACTTAATTATGTCACACTTTTGACCATTTATATAAAAAAATACAGAGAACATATATTATAAACATGATAAAATAATGTATGAGAATATTAAGCCCAAAGGTATGGTTTTCTTGTCAGCATAGAACAAGTCAAGGTACTTTATTTCTGTTGTCAAAACCTCAAGGTCGCAACTTCCGATAATAACCATGTTTATTTGTCGAGCTGCACAGGTATTGGTCTCAAGGGTTACTCGGACCAAACCGTTCCTTAAACTTTATTATGTGTTAAAATGACTTGCTGGCAGTTGCTAAAGGTAATCCAGTAATTTGTTCCATATAGCTGCCAAACCTTGTTTCCCCTCGTTCTTTTTCACTGTTGGCACAGTAAAACATAAAGCTTCCCTTTCTTAGAAGCAAGGGAGAAGAAAAAGAAAAAGATGAAGCAAAAAACAAAAAAGGTCATTTGCATTTTATATTAAGTGCTTTTTAATGTAGAGTGCATTTATGGAAAATTGAGTAATTGCACTAATTTGCTAGATTAATTTCTAAATGTTCATAAATTCAACCGAGAAAGCATCGTTAATCTCTACAATAGCCATAAAGGCGATTTAGAATGAAAAAGGAAATCCCTCGCAGATACGCGCTGAATGCTCTGGGATTTATTAAGTCGACATGTAGCCGTTGTCGCGATTACGGCAAAGATCAGGTTCTCAAGGTGAATTAACTCTAATTACTCAGGACTTTTCCCTAGTTTGGAGCGATAAGCATGCTGCCCTGAAAGCTATGCCCTTAAAAATGATTTCAAATAATGTGCCTCTGCAGCAGTGACACTGACGGATGGGTCGCCCGCCTTCTGCCAGTGTAAGCACAAATCGGCCCGGTTAAAGCAAATTAAGAGCTAAAGCCCATCGGATGCTCCCTGTGCAGCCGCAGTAAATATAAATAGGCCCTGCGCAGACAGCTCTTTAAACACGCAGCGCTGTTTATTACGGCCTCTCCAAATTGCATCAGGCCTCAGCCTGGGATTCATTACCCAAGGCAGTCGGATTGCTCTGTCTGCACCACGACTACCCATATGTTGCACTGCTCTGAAGACTCTACGCAATTGTTCCTTGAATTTGTAAAAAGCATCTTTGCTGTGGCATCTGTGGAGACGCCGATAAGAGCTTGATTGGTGGTTGTAGTTTTGGGGTTTGGAATGCCTCGTTTCTCCAAAGCTGTTTTACCTCAGCAGCAGAATGAGAAGTGCAAATTGCTCTTGAGCACTGCCTTGGCTTGGCATTGGCATTGTTTTTAATTCCATTTAAGATTTTTGAATGAATAACAGGATTGTCGCACTGGGAGTATTGGTGGCTGTACTGGATAACAGGCCAGAAATGTAAATATTCTGGGCTGCAAATATTTTTAATTGTTTTAGAATAATTTTCTTTGGTTAGTGTAACAGAACCAGTTTTTGAAATATGACATATATAAAAATATTTATACATACAGTGTAAAATCTTCATTTAGGATTGATTGGTATGACTAAAATGATATATTATGGTATGAGTAGTCTTATATCATGTTAATTGGATTTATCATATGTGTATCATGTAGGTATTTTTGTACAAATATTCAATAAAATATTTAGGA